ATTATACTTACAATCAATCACAGAAATCAATGAATATATTTTATGAGTAAATACAAGATACTTTAGGAACAGCTGCTTTAAAATGCCAAGGGAGACCCTGACCTCAGGACAAAAGTATCTCAAAAAGTGTCATAAGATTTTCGAGAATCAGATCATTATTCTAGACATGTGAGTTCCAAGAGGAGGAACCTCATCTCCTTTTATGTTGGGATTTGTAGCTCCTACCCCAAGTAGAGAAAATATTTTAAATGTCTGATCCAAAATTCTTCAGATAAATACTAAGTCTCAGAACAAGACTTTATGAAATAAAATGCCAGGAAAATAGCAGCAGAAGAAAAAAATCACTTAATTTGTACTCTCTTTAGGTTTTACTACTTAACCAATGCTGGTACCAAAAGAAAAGAAGTCCAGTTTCATTATAGCTCCAATCCCAGCAGGAGCATGAATAAAATGAATAAAGAAGCCACAAATGAAACGCCTGTGTACCCTGGGAGTAATTGCTCAGAGTGTTCCGAGGGCGGTAGGCCAAATGAAAGGACACACTGAGAATCCACAAGCTTAAAACAACATTTTCCTACAATTATTGGCTTTTCTCCACACCTCTCCAATCCTTCTATCCAAGTTATATTTGAATTATTACATCTAAATTAGCCATTAGTTTCCCTGCACACTACAAAATATTGCAACTGGTGAAAATAACAAGGAAAAGGCTTGCAAAATGCATCCCTACACTTTTAGAGTGTAGCAAGAGGCCAGCCCCCAACAATTACCATCTTGCTTGAACCTGGACCAATCCCTCAACATCCTTGGATTTAGTTTCCATATTTGTAAAACGAGTTTTTAAAATACCTGATTAACTAGAAAGCATAAGCAGTTTTCAATACATTTTACTAGCATACATGCCTTCTTGTGCAAACTACCTGTTCATATTTTTGCTTACTTTTCTATTAGCTTGTTTTATAGTCATTTTACAGGGGTTCTTTATGTATTCTGGATACTTTGTCAGGTAAATGCCAATATTTTCATGTATGTGGACTCTTCTGTGATTTGCCCTTTTTTGCCCACTTATTTATTATGTCATTTCTTCATTATTATTTGGGAAAGCTAGGATGACACTAATCATTCTTCTCTTAATGGGTTGCTTGGTTCTGCCAATCTGCGCCTTGATTTTGCATTTTATAATTAAATGCTTTATTTTTTAATTAGATGATGTATGTACATTATAGAATTACATGTATAGAACTTTTATGATAACCTAAACATTTTATAATATACTTAAATGTGATAGATATAAATATAATCATAATGATAATAACAATAGTACCTGCCCTAACTTCTCATAGTTTGCATCAGTTGAATGATGACGTAATGATGTATCTCACAAACTGTAACACCTCAGCTGTGATAGGAAATCTCTCACAGAAAAGTCACAACTCTACCTCTAAAAGAGACATCTGAAAAATGACTCATTCACAAGTCATCAAAATTCTCATTTAATTAATAACAATCTGCAAGTTCTCAGGAACCACCTCCAACCTTAATTTACAGCACCCCAATGGAAGATCTGTTCTATCCGGGGATTCCCTATCAGAACTCCCTCCATAAAAATGTCACTTCTAATGGATTACACCTTTAATCCTACTATTTCACAATATGAGAGGGAAGCTTTAAGAGCCTATGTTAAATTGCCTGCTGACAATGACATTACTTTCTAGGTTGACCTGGAGAGCACTTCACAAATAGACTCTTAGGACTTACTGGTCATTAATAAGAATAAGAAGATGTCTGCCCCTCATTATAATATATTTCATCAGCCTCACACTTTTATGTGTACTTAGTAACATTTTATGCAGTTCCCTACATAATTTACATCTTCCTCATTTATACAACCCCCTTTAGTAATGTGACCCAGACTAATACAGACCTAAAGACTAGAACTGCAATGACTTAAAAAGACTTCACACACAACTTCAAAAAAGTCAAATTTTTACACATCGGCTCCTAAAGATAACTTAAAAAGGTAACTTAAATGCACAATGTGATAAGCAGAATAATGGTGCCAGAAAGACCCGTGTCCTAATGCCCAGAATCTGGAAATGTACCTTACATGGCAGGGGAAACTTTGCAGATATACTAAGGTTAAGGACTTACAGTTAGGGAGAATATCCTGAATTACCCGGTAAGAATCAATCTAATCACGCGAGTCCTTACAAAAAGGAAGGAGACAGAGAGTGGGTCTGAGAAACGGAACATGAAAAGGATGTGACCCACCATCTCTGGTTTTGAGAATGGAGAAGAGCCACAAGGTGGGGAAAGCAGGAAAAGGCAAGGAAAGAAAGTCTCCCCTAGATCCTCCGGGCAGAACACAACCCTGCCCATACCTTCGTTCTAACCCAAAGAAACCCATGTTGAACTCTTAACCCAAAAAACTATACAATGATAAACTTATGTTGTGGGAAGTTTTTGTGGCGGCAGCAGAAAAGTAACACACAGAGCACACCTACCTTATTTGCAGGAAAACCAACTGGGCATACTGGAACCCAGCTCCTGGTATGAAATCACAGCTATTCTACTTGCCTCCTGACAATTTAAACCGATTATTAACCCTCCCTAAGCCTCAGTGTTCTCATCTGCAAAGTTAGGCTAGTAGTACAGTAAATCCTCACACCTAATGTCTTTGGTAGTTCTGCAACTTCAAGTGAAACAACATCTACAAAACCAGTTAAGTTGCTACGGCATCTCATCAATGTTATAACAAAAGATTATTCAAAGACCTGCTACAGTACCTATCTTAAAAGAGAACTGGGTTAATGCATATAAAGCACTTAAAATAGTTTCACAAAGAGAGGCACTAAACACATCTTAACTACCACTGTTGTTGATTTTAATCGATGGTAATTTACCTACCTTCTTTTTCAATCACCCACAGAAAAAATCAAGACATCAACAGTCTTCAAACCAGTCGAGGAAATGAGGCTTTCTAAAAACTAAGGCCTGTGCGCACACCTACAAGCGTTGCGCATATGGTCCCCGCTCCTCTGAATTACCAAGCGCAGTTCTTCAGGAGCCCTCCCTGGCAGTTAAGGAAGAGGCTGACCACGTCCACGTGTCCACATGAACTCCACTAAATGGTAAACGCTAACAGGGTCTGACAGAAAAAGTGCCCATCAAAACATAAGAGTTTGTCTTATTAAAAATAACAGATGTCCCAAAATGAAGTTTGTACTGAAATTTTCCATAATTGGCATTTTCAGCTTATTTGGTATTTATATAGCACTTTTCATTTGCAAAATGCCTGCCCTATCACTTCTTCATAAGCAATTAAATCTTTATTTCACTTGGCTATTGATTGGGCAACATTTACATAAATTGACATAACCTAGCTAAGCAATGACAACACCATAAAAACCCAAAGACACGACTGATTTCCACAAAAATTAGAGGCAAATACAAATCAAATGTATAGATACATTTTCTGTTTCATAATTCCACAAACTGCAACAGCCCAAAGCACTGTCAAAACTCAAAGAACAGCAACAGTATATCAGAAAGAGATGGAAAACAAAACCTTTTAACAGAGACAGTAAGAACTTTTGTCAAGTATCAAAATAAAATCCAGTGTTTGGGGTCTTTTTAAAAAAAAATCAGTAAGTAAGCAGACTATTAGAAAAATCTAATACAATAATTCCTAGAGTAAAAGCAATATACTTCATGACTCCAAGCCTAAATAACCCTAAATTAAATCAAATGATGTTTTAAAAGGTAATTAAATATGCCCCAGCAAAAACAATATATTGTTAAGCTAGCCCCCCAAAAAGCACTTTCAATTAGTTATAGAAAATGTATTGATTGAATCCAAATAATGTTTTCTACCTTTTCTACCATTTCATTATTTCAAGCTCTATAGGACTACAGAACTAATTAGAACTGTAACAACTATAATTCTTATCCGAAAAGCCAATGGTAACTGACACTGTATTTGTTTAAAAGGCGTGGAGGAAGATGTCAAAGGTGGGCACACACAGGGCATCCTACAGAAGTTACCCAGACCCCTCCTACCCACTTAGCACGGCAACAGCAGACAGGCAGCTCCTGGCCGAGGCCCAGCGCGGAGCGGGATTCTCCGATGCTCAGGGCTCAGCCACGCCACAATCCCCCTAAAGCCTTGCATACAGATTCGAAGTATGCTCTCCCTCCCCCAGCTTTAAATATAAGCCAGAATGGCTCTCCTTTATCTTATTCACCAGACTATTAGGTAGTCCAAGAAGAAATATGATTTTGAGGCTATGTTCTCAAAGTACATTGCATGTGTGTGCACATGCGCGTGCATCAGGCACATAGGAAGGGAAGAGGCCACTGAAAGATACAAGACTCAAGATACAGGAAAGGGGCCACACATGCCAAAGCCTTCAAGGGCCACACAGGGAGTGTAATACATGAAGCAGCTAAGTCAAAGCTAATAGGAGTGGCCCTGGCCCGGTACCTCGGTTGGAGAGAGTGTCCTTCCCATGTGCCAAGGTTGTGGGTTTGATCCCCAGCCAGGGCCAAGTACAAGAATCAACCAACGAGTGCATAAATAAGTGGAACAACAAATTAATGTTTCTCTCTCCCTCTTTTCCTCCTCCCTCTGTAAGTTTCAATTTAAAAATAAAAAGCTGCTAAAAGGAGCAACAGAAATTACAGCAAAAATGACAATACACACCCCATAAAAAAACATTCAAACACAACTTCAGAAAAACAAACAATGCCGGTCAAATAAAACGCATCTACAGCTGATTCAGCAGGCAGGCCAGATTCAGCTGCTGTTTCCAACCATGATAAATGCCAACAGGCCCAATCAATCTTCTTAAACCTTACTCCTTCACAGGAAGGCAAAGTGCTCATCACAAGACCCAAGACACTAACCTCGGGCCCCCCAGGCCTGCAGGCATCCCCAGTCTTTGCCTAGAAGCTGCAGTATACCAAAAAGAAGTGTAGTGGCTGGAGAATTAACTACTTACCACTTGAGGTTCCAGGAGTTGAATACTGAGAGGTATCGAGAAACTTTCGAGGAGTGGGAAGGTTTGTAACATCAATCAGCGGAACAGGAGGAACGTCTTTCACAAGGGCGCTGAAGGGAGAAGGAGCAGTAGTTACTACTTTCTCCCAGAACAACTCAAGTCCCACTAAATGCCCGTCCCTTATCACTTTGTTTCTCTTATGAGCCCTCTTTACACTGTGACTTCAAATATCTCCCAAGTGAAGTGGTGATTGTCACAGGCAGGGATAACAATGTATTTCCAAGGGTTCCAAGTACTTAAATATTTAGTCTTTTCATTTCGATGCAAGGTCTAAAAAGAAAAATGATGTGTGTTCTGGATCATCTGGATGCCACCTTAGAACCAAATTACACCGTGCAATTTCAGTACCCTCCTTTGTTTCTGAATAACAATTAACTTATCAGCAAAGAAAGAGCAAATGACACCGTATCTTGATAAACAAATGAAGGTTTAACTAGTTAAGCCTAATTTGTGTTTTTCAAGCTATAGTTTTTTGACATACTCTGGGAGTTCACTGTTTTTAGTTTTCTTTAAAAGAGGTTTGTATATTTCATCATGTTGAGAATCACTACAATAAAAGATGACTTAAGGAATCTCAGACACGTTAATTCAGTAACGTATATATATTTACCTTTATATATTTATTGTATATATTTATTACCTTTACCAAAAAAGCCTCGCACCTCATCTTAATGATTAACTTTATAATCTCCAAAATATACACCTTAATTTCAAATGACACAAAGACTATTAAAAAATTAAATTTTCAAGTTAATTCCCATTTATAGGCATCTGTTAGGTCCAAGAATATAGGCAACGCCAGGGCAAATAAGCCCTGTGACCTGCCTTCCAGAAACTGAACCATCGTACAGCACCTATGACAGAAAAGCTCCTCTAAATCTCAAGGGTAAAGAAGTCAAAGCCAAAAACAGTTCTCATCTCCCCTTTCCCGTCCCCACACACTTCATCTGTAGCAGTTGCTACCCTTAGAAATGACCCACATAATGAGTCACTATGGCAGAGGGGAGCAGGGATGAGGCCTCACCCGCAGGAAGGCTCTCTCCAAATGGGATACAAGGGTGCGTGCAGTTCTCAACATCGGACCCCCTCCACAGTGATGGAGCCCCAATCTCCCGCCTACACCACTTTTGGAGCCCAAGTGCTAGGTAAGTGTATATTTTTAAGCTACTTAAAAAAACAAGCATATCCTTTCAGAAAACTCTGAAAAATAAACTTTGTGTTAAAGGGCAAAAATTATCATTTAAGGTATTTTTATCCAGTGCTGGTAACGTGTGATCCACTGGCATAGGCCATAAGGATAACTGTGACAGTCATCAACGTCTCCCTTTTCACTTAATACAGAGAAGAGAATCATGACTCAAGTCTGAAGCATCTGTTAGGTGCCTGGCACTGTGCCCCCTGCAGAGGACGTGACTATGACTGAGGTAGGAGCTAAACCAAACTTAGCACATTTCCAACTGTTGGAATCGCTTGCAGACTAATGTGAAACAGCCTCAAGTGAAGCGTAACACATAGAAAAAGTAGCACGACAGCATTTGCCACGAACTGAACTGATACAGTTCCAATAACTCTTTTCCCTCAGTGTAAAGCTGTAATTTCCTACTCACCTAAACTATCTTAAGAAAATCCAACAGCACTTTCAAATCCACTAGTTTATCACAACAGTATGTCTATCAGATCAATGGGCAAATCCATCAGATCATGCATGCACACATGTCTCTTTCATATATTGACTACTGTTGTCTTCTCATTTTTCTTTTCAACTGCCTCATCCTTTTCACCTGCATTTTACTCACAATCGGAAAACCAGCTCCATACATCTCCCTAACCCCCAGACATGCATGACCAAGGAGCGTGTTTAATGGTACTGCTATTGAATAAATAAGTTGTTCATTTCAATTCTAAGAAAAATATATACTTTATAAGTTCCATAACAAAAGTGGGGAAATTATTTTTAAAGCACTGTTAAATGAAGGTACAATTAGCAGGTAAGTTCAGGTACAGAGCTGGAATACTGCCTGCCAAGCCCATAAACAAAGCAGTAAAGTGAGTACGTATGTGTATGCACAGTGATTATGTGTATATATGTGAGTATAATATATGCTTCTATAAACACAGATGTGCACATGGTTCACTTTAGATCAAAACCTATCATTACTTTCTCAATTTTTACCTAGAAATATATTTTAGTTAAATATATAGGGAGATAAACGGCTTGCCATTTTACCTTTGAAAAAAATATCCTGCTGACTTTATTATCAGAGCCAGAAGGACCCTCAAACTCCATCAATAAACTTTCAGAAAGTCAATTTACTGCAAACCTATTTTCATAGACTCATCTCTCTTTCTAAAATTTTCCCTTGGGCTTCAATTTTCTCCTTTGTGAACAATAACCCAAAGGCAAGTCACTCAGCAAATCACTTTTAGTTTTTCTCTTGTTCTCTTATGGAAGGACTTAATCTCAAGAGTTCAAGAGGACTCTTCCTTTAGTCACTACAGACAAGAAACTCAACAGAAGTGTAGGTGCCATTTCACTAGCAGGTACAAACCTCAGTTTCTACTTCAGATAATCAGAAAAAGCCTGTTCTCATCATACACCAGAGATAAAGTTCAGAAAGTATTAATTACTAAATTAAATGGTAACTTCAAAGGGTTTTGAATCTCTCAGAGGAAATACTTTTGCAAACAAACAAAAAAATTGTACTGTTCTTTTCAAGTTTCTAATTAAAGGAATGATCTGAACTAAGTTATTTTGAAAAATATTGATAGGAGTTATTTTTCTTTTTAAATACATTTGATTGCAAATTTTTATTTAAAATCCATTCAGAATCATTCATATTTGAGTTTTTCAAGATAACTGATGAGCATGAGCCCATCTCCCCAAAATTACTAATTATATATTGTGACCAAATGTGATCTATTAAATAACTGCATGGTAGCACACAGGAAAAACTATAAAACATATTAAACTGGTCCAAAACAACAACTCCTACCACCACAACCCCAAGAACTTTCTGGCTGTTAACCATCCATCCAATTAGTAAGGAGCTACTTCTAAATGTGTTTGATTTCAGTATTTCAAGCCATGAAAAGTTTGCGTTTCTTTTTTAAGAAGGATTAGAAGTACTAACATCTTATTAAACATTTGCTTTTTAATTAGAACTTATTTCTGTTCCTTCTTTAGTAATAAATAGATCCAACTATGTCCAAAATTTACAGCAACAATTCATTTGGTTGATTTTATTCTCAAACTAAAACTTGACAGATGTGAGTTGTAAATCTACTAACTAATACATTTACCTCTATAACCCCAACAGCTGGCACAGTACCTGTCAAAGATCAAGTGCTCATAAAAGTTTATTAAATCAAACTGAGCTGAGAAATAGCTATCAAGGATAATATGCCCTTAGTAAGAAAACTTAACTGAAGAATGAAACAGAAATGACTGGCACAGTAATTTTCTATAGTTCTAAGATCTGCTGGAACATACAGAAAAAAATAATGAGTGATTCAGAGAGTATAAAAGTCAAAAACAATCATGATCTCAAATGACAGGCCAAGGATTGATGACAAAATAAAGTGAAGTTAAAATCTAAGCAGAGAGGGGAAAAAAGAAAAAAGAAAGATAACAGAAAGAAAACCAACAAAGGAAAAAATGAAAAGACCAAACAGTGAGGCAGCACATAACGCACTGGCGTCAAGGTCGCCCTTTACACACCCAGACACAAACATGGACACTGACGCTCATGAGTCTAAAATTTTCTCCTCCTCAAACTAGTGTTCCAGAAAGCAAGATTAATCAAGTATTAACCCAGAGTGCATGCAATAAATAAAAGGATTATTTTTAAAATAACTTTTTACTGATTTTACTTGCTTATAGGAGGTAAGATCCAAAAACAAAAAAAAAAAACAAAAAAAAACCCTGGAATTTATTTATAAAAAAATTGTATATTTATACTTACATGTTTAAACCTCAGTCACCTTCAAAGTACTCTCCACTTGATGAAAGACACCTATCCAGGCCTTTTTACCCCTGCTCAAAACAGTTTTTGAACACATCGATTTTGATGCCTTTTGGTGCTTCTGCTGTTGTTTGTTTCACCTCTTCCACACTGGCAAAACGTTTCCCTTTGAGGACTTTTTTCCACAAGAGGAAACAAAAATGCTGCTCAGAGAGCGATGGGGTGAATAGGGAGGGTGGGGCAGGAGGGCTCAAAAGCTGCTAAACACGCAGCACAGTGTGAGCAGGTGTGCTCTGAAATACCCATGATGAAATAGCAAACTCTTTGAAAGTCTTCAAAAAAAAAATTCACTGAAGCCAAATGCAGCCTCTCACAACAACGCCGGTTGGTACACTGGTACAGATGGGTTCCTGAAACACTCATCTAGTGTAGGGGCAGGAAATAATTCTTTTTGGGCGGGGGGGAGGGGTGTCTTCCCTTGTAAAGATACAATGGGTTCCTTTTTGAAAATACAAAAAAAATCTACTAATTTTGGCGAAAGGCCCTTCCAAAACACTGGACAGAACGAAGCCTCTGACTGTTCATCCCCGACACGCACACGTGCGCACACACACACGCGCGCACGCACACACACACACACACAAATCGTGCATTCCCAGCCCCCCCCACATACACACACATAAACTGTACACATTCTCTTTTTTCAACATTCTGTGGACGATCCTGTATAGAATTTTAAATCCTAGTTTTTCCCTTCAACAGTAAACATTTTGCCATTTCATTAAAAATGATCTTCAAAAGCACAATTAATAACTGTTTTATCATTAAAGTAATAATAATACGTGTACAAGGCTCATGACAAGTCTACTCACAGGGCAGAGAGTAGGCAATAAGTCCTTCATACGCAATCCCCCGCCCCCTTTTCATTTCCCACAGGTAATTCTTTTTAAGTTGGCATTTCTGCATTATCCTTTCAGGGATTTTTCTACACACATACATTTATATTCAGGGGTGTCCAAACTTTCGGCATCTCTGGGCCGCATTGGAAGAAGAAGAGTTGTCTTGGGCCACACATTAAATACACTGCCACACGTAATCACAAAAAAATCTCACAATGTTTTAAGGGAATTTACAATTTTGTGTTGGGCTGCATTCACAGCCATCCTGGGCTGCACACGGTCCGCAGGCTGGAGGTTGGACACCCCTGAAAGTATACAGATTTAAATATATATCATTTCCATTCTTTTCTACTTCAAAAATATCTGTTCTTTACATGTATGTGCTTTCATGTGATTTCTTTTCTCCAGCAGCAGAAGCTTGTTGTTGGGTGTTTGCATGTTTGTTTTTGGATACCAACAATCGAAACAGTCTTCTCTCCAGGTCAAAGCAAAAAAGAAAGAGGACACCACTTTGTATCATAAAAGTTGAAGGAGGCCAGACATGCCCCAGGCTCAACAAAATGAATGCTTCCAGCCATGACTTCGAATCTTGAGGATATAAAGAAAAGATGGAGGGACATGTAGAGAATTTACCTGAGACTGAAAACTCGAGCAGGTGCAGGCAAGGCCCCGTGGGCAGCGACCAACCAGACAGACCCTCCCCGTGACTTGTCTGTGCTGTGTATTCAGCTGCTTTGCTGCCCTGAGGCCCTCCTGCTTTATAGCTGATCGCAGATTTTGTGACCTACCTGATAACTTTCCACTAAATTCCTGTCCTTATTTTACTTTCCAAGATTGAGTTCTACTATTGGCAGTCAAGAGCACTGGTAAGATAACATGTTTTATTTGCTGTTTTCGCTAGTGATTTTTCAATGTAGAAATCTTTAACTACACATATCTAGGCTAACATACATGAATTTAAATAAATGAAACACTTTCCTCTAATTATTAAAATCCAAAATGAAACAATTTCTGACTCACCTTAAGCAAGAATCCACATTCCTTTCTATCTCCTGCCCATCCAAATTTCACAGTCTCTACTAACAATGTTGAGATATACAATGAATCCTGTTTATTACTGTATTCTTTGATCACATATACCTTCTCTTTATCATGCATTTATTTTTATTGAAATATATTAGACATATAATGTGTAAATTTAATGTGTACACGTTAATTTGAAACACATATTGTAATATGACTGCCATTGCAGTGATAATTAGCACTGTATTTTTTAAAGAAATAGAACAAAAAAAAAAATCAGATTTGTATGGAACCACAAAAGACAATAGCCAAAGCAATCCTGAGGGAAAAAAAACAAAGCCAGAAGTATCACACTACCAATTTACACTACAAAGCAAGAACAGTCACAATAGCATGGTACTGCAGAAAGACAGACACACAGACCAAAGGAACAGAAGTGACAACCATGTGTCTGACCAAATAATTTCAGCTAAGGAGCCAAAATCATACAACGGAGAAAAGGAAGCCTCTTCAAAAAATGGTGCTGGAGAAACTGAAAAGCCACATGCAAAAGAATGAAACTAGACTGCTATTAAATCTTTTTCAAAGTAATGTTCAGCTAATATTTTTGATCTTGTAAAACTAGATTTGTCAACTATTTAATGTAAATTTACATATTTACTGGTATACAGACCTCGCAGTAGCTATAAACTACCTACAACTTGTTCTCAAGTTGCTAAATCTGATTTTTATCAGAGGGTTCATCATTGAGTACTCAGAAAATTACAGTGATTTATTCTTCGTTAATTTATATCTCAGGATGTCTCTCTGCCACCCATGCATATCAGTGTCCTCTTGGCTGGGTATAGAAATCTTTGGTGACAAGTCTCCGGATTCAACACTTTGTCAGCTTTGCTTTGTCTGCTGTGTTCTGGCATTTCCTGGTCAGCAGATGCCGATTCTCACTCCTTTCTATGGATGAGGACCAGGGAAACTGTATAAAACAGAAGACCCAAATAGCAGTGGCCTAAGTAAAACAAAGGTTTTCCTTCCTGTCACATAAAAGATGTAATCTATTCGAGGCTATTAACAGAGGATCCATGTTATTACAGAAATTAAAGTGTGGCTTCATCCAGAATGTCCCCTCATGTCTAACATGGATTAATGGCTCCAATCCATGTTCTACATGGAAAGTAAAAGAAGGCAAGCGAAGGGTAAAAGAGTATAAGCATACCAATTTAGCTGACACCTCTAAAGAACTTTCCGATGAGCCCCAGTCCAGCAGCTTGCAAGCAGAAGTCTCACTAATTACTATTAGCTATACAGGAAGCTAGAAAATGCAGTCGTGTAGCTGGGCACGTGGCCACTAGGAACAAAGTTGTGGTTAAAAATGAAGAAGGGGAGAATAAATATCGGATGGGCAGATAACCATCACTGTCACCACAGGTAACAAATTTTCTTACTGCTACTTACAGAATTTGGTTTTGAAATTCATAAAAATTTCTAGCTCATATCTAAGAGTAACTTTTTTTTCATTAATTTTACCTTGAAATCTTTTGATTTGCAGATCTAAGTTTTGGGGGGGTTTTTTCCTGTTTAAGTAGCTTTCTTTATTTACACTGTAGGTATTGCTTCTGTTTCTCTATTTGTTTGCTAGGGCTGCCATAACAAAATATCTCAGACTGGGTGGCTTCACAAACAGCAATTTATTTTTTCACAGTTCCGGAGGCCAGAATCCAAGCTCAAGACACTGGCGGGGCTGCTTTATTTTGACGCCTCTCTCCTTGGTTTGTACGAGGTCATCTCATCACATGGTCTTCCCTCTGAGCAAATCTATGCCCAAAATTCGTCTTATATTCAACAAGCGCCCAGCCTGATGACTTCCTTTTAACTTACTTACTTCTTAAAAGACTCTACCATTAAATTTAATCACAACTTCTGGTACTGAGAGTTAGAACTTCAACACATAAATTTTAGGTGGAGACAATTCAGCCTATAGCACTATAATTTTATTGTCACTCTGCAGAATACCTAAAATCATTGAATTGATAGCTATTCTCCATTTTTCATACATATTATCTTTCTTTTGTCATCTTGTCTCTTTTTCATAATAAGGAAGTTTTCCCTCCCTATCAGTGATTCAAGTCTCCTCTCTAATGCTTTCAACAAAGACTTTATTTCCCTACTTTATTTTGGTTTTCCTTATATTTCATTCATGTTTTCGTTTTTCCTTTTTGTATCTTTCCCATTTCCCCTCTTGTCCCTCCCTATTAACGTTTCATAGAAGCTACATGTTTCACAGAAGCTTGACGCATACAACCACAAAATTTCAGTAACCTTCGACAACAAGCACATATCCTGATGGCTGGCTGACCCGGGCTGGGCAGCTCAGCTGATCCTGGACAAGTTCCACGTGTCTCTCATCCTCTTCCTGGGACCAGCGCCACTGGGGCAGACGCAGCAGCACAAGAGGGCATGCTCGCTGGCACACGCCCACTGCAAGCTCTTCCTTGTGCCATGTGCTAATGGACTGGCAAAAGCAAGAGCCCATAAATCCAAAAGCAGAAAACGCATTTTTTTCCACTCAAGTCGAGGAGAGATAATTTTGAAAAATAATCTAATCTTTTCCATCTTCTGAGAAACCATAAGCTTCCGTCTCCTAAAGGTTTCCTGTTTTGCTTTATAAAATGTTTTTCAAATAAATGCTTTATGTTTTTTTTAATAATTTACTGGTTTTAGAGGAAGAGGAAAAAAGAAATAGAGAAAGAAACAGAAAGAAACATCAATTTGTTGTTCCACTTAATTATGCATTCTTGTACACGCCCTGATTGGGGATTGAACCCGCAACCTTGGCATATTGGGACAATGCTCTAACCAACTGGGCTACCCAGCCAAGGCTAAATGATCTTTTCTGAGACCTCAGGGTAATGCTCATTTTCTCGTATGCTACAGACTATTTTCATAGGAACCAGAGTTTTGTTTTTTTTTTTTAATCTTTGTATGGGAAGAAATCTATCAAGACCTGCCATTTACCACCAGACACTGTGGAAGGAAGTTCCTAAGCATGGCCTCCCCCACCCCCACTACTCTCTACTAAAGGTACCGGCAGTTATTCTATTTCTATCCAGTGTTGAAGTTGTCTCAGGTATATAACCCTTAGCTCAGCTTGTGTGTCAGGCAGAAGTGTTTCTAGCGCCCACATGCAGGAAAGAGACAGAAACTCCTCGTTCTCTGGCAGTGTCTCCGACTAAACTGCAGCTTCACACACAAAGTCAGAAATCTTTGTCTGAACAGGTAGGTCTTTATAAAGATTCCATTCCCAGCATGCTCTGCTTCCAGCATTCCTCTTGCCCACAGGTGACGAAAAAGTATGACCAAGTAGATAGCAGTAGATGGTGCTAAACTGCCCTCTGAAAAGACCTTATGCCTATTTTAAAGGACTTTTGGTTGGACATGACGTGCACAGCTCTCTGCTCCATGTTAATAACGCCAATGCCCTGCTGTCTCAACTTTCTCCAGATATGGTCTATTCCCGACCAGGTCTACACTAACCCAATGAATGTCTTGCGTCCACCCCAGGCCCGGCAATGCAGGACTCTCCTGAGCTACTCCAGAGAAAGGGTTGTCAGAAGCTGAAAACAATCCTAAGTAACAAAGAATCTTATAACTTCAGTCCATATAGCTACATTTCTTAATTAGGTTGACTTCGCTATCCAATTTAAGGATTTTTTTTCTCTTCCTTCTGGGATAAACCAGAGCATCTCTGATCCAGTATATTGAAGGCCCACAGTAAACATTTATGTGTCTTTACATAAAGGTCCATAATAAATGTGCAATGAAGGAATGAACAAATTTTGAGCGTCAGCCTTTCAGAGTATGGAGTATTTTCAAAGACAATATGTTAAAAGGAGAAGTAAAATAAACTACAACAATATTCTGGAAAACAAATAATATTCCTTAAACTTCTACACTGCCACAGTACACTGTGGCAAAGAGCCCCTCTAACCAACCTCATTCTCCCTTTGTCCTTGTTGCGCTGCACGACTCGGCCAGTGGATTTGATGTACAGGTGCCGGTGCAGTTCATCTATGAGAACCAAGTGAAGATTCATCTTTTTGCTGTGAAGCTCCAACCTAAGGTCACTCAGCCCTTCCACCTGGAGCAGGGGGCCCTCCAGAGACTCGACTGCTGACACCTGAAGAGGGGAAAAAAGATGGTTGAGTACAATAAATAATCTAGCAATATTATAAATATGAAAGGTTATTTTTTAAAGGATACTGTAAGCGGAGAGATTATGAAAATCTTACGAGCCTACATCTGACCCCAGAATACAGCGGCCCCCCTTATCCGTGGTTTCACATTTGGCAATTTCAGATACCTGGGGTCCAACCACAGTCCAAAAATATTACATGGAAAAATTCCAGAAGTAAACAACTCATGAGTCTTAATCTGTATGCCGTTCTGAGTAGTGTGATGAAACCTCACGCTACCCAGGTCTGACCGGCCCCTGACATGAGTCATCCCTGTGTGCTGCGTACACACACTACATACGCTACCTGCCCCGCTAGTCACTCACTTCGTGGCCAGCTCGGTTATCAGAGCAACTGTCATGGTATCACAGTGCTTGTGTTCAAGTCACCCCTATTTTAATAATGGCCCCAAAGTGCAAGAGTACTGATGCTGGTAATTTGAATATGCCAAAGATACGTGGTAAAATGCTTCCTTTAAGTGAAAAGGTAAAAATGTTCAACTTAATAAGAAAAACAAATTGCATGCTGAGATTGCTAAAACCTATCTTCTTTCTGTGAAATTGCCTAATTTATAAATCAAACTTTTTAGCAGGTGTATCTAAAGACAGAAACAATAGCACATATAGGGTTCGGTATGATCCACGGTTTCACGCATCCACAGGGGGTTCTGGAACACACGCCCTGTGAATGAGGGCTGACTATGGCACAGTGTGGATAGGCCTAGTTCTGCCTTTAAAGGATTTAACATCTGAGACACAGACCACTGAAGACAACAATCTTGATAAACAGGAAAGCATCTAAAGTACTGCAACAAAGCCATACGTACATGTGATAGCCCCACACACATTGCCTATCAACAGACACAAGTAAAATGACCTCTGCAAATAAATGATTATGTCGTTCATATCCTCACAAGAATTCCATGTATTAATGCTTATGTCAACTTTCAAAGCTAGCCTTTAAGACTAAAGAAAAGCACGCGGGAAGTTTCGTGAATACGCCCCATGGCGACCAGGAATCAGAGCAGGGTTGGCCTGAGCCCGCCTGTGCATCCGCTGAGGCTGGGCCCTGTCTCGCTCGCTCGCGTGCGCGCGCACCCGGAGGCCAGTGCAGTCTTTGCCCGAATGCTACCGGCACAGGAGGACTCACCACCACTCCAAGGCCTCACCCGGTTTGATAGAAAAAATGGTCTTTCAACGGAGAACGGAAGATAAACCAAGCAGAGGGAGACACTCCTTGGGTAAAGTGCCATTTGGGAAACTTTAAGACAAAATAGATTGGATGAATAAAAATGGTGTAGGAATGCCTACAACAGGTGGAGAAGATAGGAACTCAGGGAACCTGGAGCAATTCATTTTGAAACCAAGGCGTATAGATTTCAAAAAAAACAGCATATATGATATGATCCCATTTATCCGTGTATATAAAATTATATTTATTTCTTAATGTATAAAGGTCTTATGTACTTTCAATGAAAAAACCTTAAAGAGAATATTCTAGGTATTATTCCTTGGGAGAGAGAAAGGGGAAGGCAGAGTAACACAAAGAATGCAAAAGTAGTAATAACAACAGCAGAGAAGAGCTGGCCACAGCTGAAGGTGGGGGGCGGGGGACAGAATACTACCACCCACCCACTTCCCTGAAGAGATTAGCGTGCTGCGCCTATTACCTGCTTAGCTTATACTTCTAAATATCCCTAATATGTACAAACAAAGGCAATTACTAATAATACTTACTGCAGGGTAAAAACATTAAATGTACTTATGCAAATGAACATGCCCCTAAAAAATTAAGCATTTCTACAAAAGCAACAGACAATGAAAGCCATGAAACACACCAGCGGTACGTGCCGCTCACAGATCTATACCAACACACCCAGGCCTGGCGGAGCTTGTGGGCTGCGAGCACAGAAAGCTGGGGAGCTGCCCGATGCGAGCTGGCCTGAGGCGGGAGGAAAAGCAAAGGCTAAGCCGCAAACGTCTCACTCGTTGTGTGATACGCTATAATCAAATGTCAGCAGCAAATAAGTTCCCTTAAGTTAACCAAGAAAGAATCAGGGAATGAAGGAGTGACAAGCCCTGGGCCAGCGCTGCCCTCTGACGCCTGCCAGTTCATTTTCATGCTGACTTGCAGCTGCCCCCGCTCGCGAGCCCCTGGGCCTTGCACAAGCTGCCAGCAATTCCAAATGGAAAGGCAGCCTTGCAAAATGACCAAAGTGTCCCCAAGGAGGAAAAACAACAACAAATTCATTCACACTTGTGCTCTAAAATGGATTTTTAACTTGAGTCTCTAGCAGAGAAAAGAGGATGCATTAACCTTTAGTGACATGGAGATCCAGAAAATGAAAAATAATTTGGTAAACCACTGGTCCATCATGTAGCCTTATCCCTTATGGTAATTAAATCCAACTGAGATATTTAAGCTTAAAAATCACCCACTGCACATCTGCACTTGATTTGTTTGAAGGAATATGCATGGAAGGTTTTTAACCCAAATAGCTCAAGTTTCAAATACAAAATTATATGACAATGTCAACTTTCAAAGACACCTAATTAAAATTTTAAAAAATATTTTTATATTTAATGTATTGACTGGGGGGTCGGGGGAGAGATAAACATCAATTTGTTGTTCCGCTTATTTCTGCATTCGTTGGTTGATTCTTGTACATGCCCTGACTACTGATGGAACTCGTAATCTTGGAGTATTGGGACGATGCTCTAACCATCTGAACCACCCCGGGCCAGGGCTTAAAACCTTTTTTAAATACAGGTAAAACACTTAGCACAGTCCCTGGCACACACTGAGTGTTCACTGAAATTATTTTTGACAGAACCTATTTATTCCGTGGATAAAGAAATCTCAGAGAGTGTGTGCATCAATGTAGCATTTCCAGTAAAATGCTGTTTCCTTCATAGAACCCTTATAACTATTTAGTTCAGGGGTCCCAGGCCGCGGACCAGTATGGGTCCACAGCCTGTTTGCCTGTTAGGAACCGGGCCTTCTGTTTCCCCCTCTTCCACAAAACCAATCCAGAGCCCCTGGTGCCAAAAAGGTTGGAGACTGCTGATTTAGGTGACAAACTCTCTGAATAGGTTCTATTTACCCAAAATACAAGTACAATTAACACACACTCACACAGTCAAGAGCAGTCTTAAAATTTCAAAGATCTGAAAATCTACCACAACAAGAATAGGGAATAGTCTCTTATTTCTATACAAAAATGCAGTGTTTTCTCTTCTGTCCTTCTCTTACCCAAAGTCTACTTATAAAGCTGTAATTATGGAAGTTAGGCAAGGTCACTGTCTTCCCCTACTCTAACCTTACTAAGTGGTCCTCAAACAAATTTGAATAAAATAGTTGCTAATGCAACATTTAAGGTCTAGAACATCACTTTAGAAATCTGACATTTTATCTCACCTTGCTTTAAGTAGCCTGCACCATAAAACTTACTAATAAAGGAAAACTTGGTGAGACAGCACTCAACCCAACAACCATCACTGATGATCAATTCTGCCGTCCTGGGGGAGGGGGGAGGAGGGCGAGGTGGGGGCGGGGTCTGGCTTCCTGGCACTTACTAACGTACTAACATTAAGGCTTCACTAAGAAAGAAATCCATCTACATTTAGAAATGAGCGTAACTACTAATAAAAATATAACTAAAGAGATTTTTTAAATGTATGAGGCATGGCTACTTCATAAATTATTTCACTGTGTTCCAAACTCAATGACTACAGGACACTTTTAAAAGAACACACACATGGACAGAAATTCAAGAGATGCAGCTGGATCAAAGAAGACAGCAGCAAAAGGGTCTCACAGGTTAGTGGCTATGACAAACTATCAGAATTAGGTTCATAAGTGTGACTACTTGTGACACTAAATAATGACACTAAACACACACACACGCAAACACACACACACACACACACAATTAAATTGTAGGACAAGACAGCAGTAGAAAGGTCAAGTAGACAATAGACAGCGGAACAGTTCACTGGTGAAAGTTGCCTATACATCGACCCGCCACTCATGCATCATTCATTCATGCCCCAAATGACCTCTACCATGACCCAGAATTCTCAAGTATGCCACACCATTTCTCACAGTAGATTACTACAAGTAGATAATGAGCCAACTAATGTATCTGGAATTTTTCTAACATGTATTTATAAAGTTATTTGGGGGGGGGGGATATTATTGTAGAGTTTTTTTTCATAGAACACCACTTATTATCTAAGAGAACGCTGGCATTCTACTCAACACAACTGAAAACTGCTCATATAGATAACAGAAAGATGTTTTGGAATAAAAACAAGTATATCCTTTAGGGTTATAAAAATAAGCAAACATTTACAAAACATTTTAATACATGATATTGAACAAGACAGCATGTCTGTTATTAGAAACCTATCCATTAAGGAAACAGAAATTCCAAAAACCGTTTCTGTAACTCAAAACCTAGGTCGAAAAACAGCTAAAATGTATATAATGAAGAACTGTCTGATTTTTCAAATAATTTTACTTTGAGATGAGAGAGAAGTCTACAACAAAAGAAATCTTTGTCATTAGAAACCACAGTACTAGTAATTTTTCTTTGCCAAGTGTCTATTTTTCAATTTCACTTTAGTTTAAACCAGGAAATTATTATTCCATAGTGAAGTATCTGTCTTCTGCCAGTCTTCCTCAAGCTGCTTAGGTGAAGATGTAGTTTTGTGCTTTAACATAAACCAATGGAAACTTTTTGGAGAAGCACCAAAGTTGGCCATTCTCAACAGCTGCTTCACTGCAGAAAGAAACCTACTGGTCTTTTTATTTTTTTTAGTTTGTGGAGAGGAGGGGTGAGCTACACAAAGGTAAACGATATTAGTAACTGTTTATAAATAGAACGAAGGTTCAAGCCAAAATAAAGAAGGAAAACCTGAAGGTATAAATAAACAAACAAACA